ACAGAAAACACGATTAGCGCACAAAAATATCTTAGAGGAATTATATTCTCTTCTTCATTTAACATGCTTCTCAAAAAGGAAAAAAAAGTATCTTATTTAATTGAAATGAAATGGAATGAATGTATGTGTAAAGGTAGTCCTCAACATATGACGATAATTGAGCCCAGAATTTCTGTTGCTAAGTGAGACAGTTGTTAAGTGAGCTTTGTCCCATTTTTATGACATTTCTTGCCACAACTGTTAAGTGAATCACTGCAGTTGTTAAATTAGTAACATGGTTGTTAAGTGAATTGTGGGGGGCTCCCTTTTGACTTTGTTTGTCAGAAGATTGCAAAAGGTGATCACATAACCCAGGACACTGCAACTGTCATAAAATATGAACTAGTTGCCAAGTGCCTAAATTTTGATCATATGACTGAGGGGTTGCTGCAACTGTGTAAATGAATAGTTGTAAGTCAAGGACTACCTGTGTACACATATTATTCTCCAGTTAAATAAGGTAAGGCTTATCCTATACCCACACACCTTTGTATCATCATGGTTGAATTTTAGTTATCTAGTAACATTCTCATTAGTTTTATTTTATATCCTGTCTTTATTATTTTCATAAACAGCTCAGGGTACTGAACATTTCTAATACTCCCTCTTCTAAATTTCTCCACAAGGACAATCCTGCGAGCTGAGTTAGGCTGAAAAAAATGATTGGCCCTAGGTCACCCAATTGGTTTTCATGCCTAAGGTGGAATTAGAACTCACAAACTCCGGGTTAGTTCATAATAAGGACAAAAAGTTGATTTTATAATTATAACTGATACAAAAAGAAATTAAAGATACTGAATTCTAGAAAAAAACATAAGCATTCATCACAATACACATTAAAGTATTTGCTTAGCTCAACATTTTTATATGCAAAAAGTAGATATAGAAAAGCTTTGACCCATTTCTCATTACACTAAAATTTCACATTATCTAATGACATGAGATTCAAATTATAGAAAAGGAAACCACATTTCACACAACTTCTAGTTCAACTATGGAACTTACTACCTTAACATGTATTATAACTTAATAAGTTGTAAAAGTGAACTTGACAAATTCACTGAAAATAGTAACTATTTCTCACAATAGTGATACATTACATCCTAGATTCAAAGGAAAAATTAGACACACAATCCAGGGAAAAGCACTCATGTAAGGTGAATGATGCAAATCAACAACTTCCTAATTTTAACATCCTTAAAGGGAGACAGGTAATTTTTCAGAAATAAAACCCCAGCATACTTGTTTCCATTTTAGGAAACTGCACCTTTGGAATTAACAGTGTCAGATTTTATCAGCAAAAGGGTAGGCAATTTGACTTCCACTAAGGACAGGCTACAATTATTAAAGTAAAACAGCTGCAGTGTTACACATTATGCTGTGGCTTTACAATTGAATAAAATGCTAACTTTTCAGAATGAACTTGACAGATTTTCCTCATTTATTGCTAGCCTATGTTCAATCTAAATGGCCCATAAGAAAGTACTTATTTTTAAGCATTAAACTATTTCTGGATCCAGACCATGTTAATTATACTTGAATGGGTCAATGTCAAAAATGAATCATAACTATGTTTCACTGATTGGTAATCAAGCAATTGATCAACAATGATTGATAGCTGTGAAGTATGATTTGCTAACAGCTCCATCTATATAATTTCAAAACACTTGCTACTCAAATTTTAAAGAATTTCATACTATTACTCAACTATGCCACTAGGTGGCTCCTGTGCATGTAATTAAAGCACCATCATAGCAGCAATTTCACATATAAACGATATAGGTCTATCCACTATGACAAATATGCTTACATGAACACTGCTACCTTATATATTAGCTACTATATAAGGATATAAAAACAGAAGCATTCTTATCCTACTCTTATACGGCCATACTGAGCATGAATTCTGAGTTATTTATTCTGTCTTAATACAGAATTTTATGGTGCCTTTTCTATGTTTTAAAAGTTATTGTTCTTAAAATGTTTTAATAAAACACTTTTGAGGCATACTGTTCATGCATCTATAATTGAGAAATCAGTAAGTTTTATTTTATAATTTTACTTTCTTTTTAATTTATCTGAAAATGTATGGTTTAAACATATAATTATATATTTTAAACAGATGAGGCGATGGTCACAAAGAGGAGGATCGAAAAACTCATATGGCATCCACATCCAGAAAATCAAATTCCACTCTTTTATTTATTCATTCATTTTATTATTAAAGCAGGTCCTGGGGGGCTCACTTTTATGAGTTGATAGTCAACTGGATGACCCTACAAATCAAATAAATCAAATAAATACATGATCCAATAACGTGAAGTCCATGCATTGGAGAGGTTGTTTACACAGTAACTAAGCGAGCAACTCACTCTGAATTACCAGAATAAAGAAGGAATAAAAACATAATAATGAAGGGACCTAAATAATTAAAGTACTACTCAACTTATGAGCAGAATGGAGACTGCTATTTATGGTTGTAAATTGTGACAGTTGTTAAGCATATCATCACATGATCAACCTGATTTTTAAGAATGTTTTTGTTAAGTAACCATGATGACTGTTAAGTGAACTCATTGTTTGCTATGGATATTTTTGCCAAAAACTAGAAGTAGCAGTTTTCAGCAAAAATGCTGTAAATTGTGGCCACATGACTGTTGGAGGGCAGCCATAAAAATTCAGAACTGTGTCATAAGTATTTTTTGGGGGGGGGGGCTGTAGTCTGTCATAACTTTACAAGTTGACTAGCTGTATCCCTATTATTTCTTTGTAGAAAGTCAAGGTGATCAAATATAGTTACCTTAACTTTCATGAGGCTCACTATACTCACTGCTAAATGAGTAGACTTTTTAAAAATATATCCAATGGCCAATAAACATTTATTTGATCAGTATTGGTATTGCTATCTTGCACCTACCATCCATTTCCCTTCCTTTTAATTATACAATTACTTAAATGGCAACTTCCTCTTTTTTAATTTACTCCAGTTTTGTCCCTTTCAATCTCTTGAACACATAGGCTTCCATCTTTTTCAACTGCCAATATTTACCTCATAATTCACAGCATCTAAAACTAGTATCTAAATTTCATTTTTTCCACCCATGTACAGGCAAACCTAAGTTGCTATTTATTCCCCACAAAATGAATAATATCAGATTCTTTTAAGGCAGCATACGCTGACATAGTTCACTATTAATACATCCATCTGGGACAGACCCAAATACAGAAAATCACTAAAAGCAATATCCTCTCTATCTTAGCCTCTAATTTCATCTGTTTCACATTCTTCATAGAGATGTTGTCAAGGATGCAATTTCCTGGCTTCAAAAAAAACAACTCACTAGGTCTTGTAATTAGTTTGGGGTAATAAAAAAAGTAGAGTTGACTTCTTCTCAGTTAAGTCTAAGAGAAATTTTTCTTTTTTCTCCCAGCAATCTGTTGCAATGTTTTAATGATATTAGGAAACTTGGAAATAGTATTTTTTCCAGATACAATACCTAAGATCCCTGCACAGGGCCTAGCTGTTCACAAAGACAGAAAGACAGATGTGGAAAAGATAACGGTCCTTTAAATCAGTGATCCCCAACCTTTTTTACACCGCGGCCCGGTACAGGCATCAGCTGGGCGCCGCGGCCCGGTACCGGCATCAGCTGGGCACCGCCATCTTTTTTTGATGAAAACGTGCTTCCGGTGAGCTTTCTACCCGGAAAAGCTCACCGGAAGCGCTGGCGCCGCCATCTTTTTTTGATGAAAATGTGCTTCCGGTGAGCTTTCTACCCAGAAAAGCTCACCGGAAGCACTTTTTCATCAAAAAAAGATGGCGGCGCCCAGCAAGCCAGCGGCTTGGTAGGACTTGTTCCGCGGACCGGTACCGGTCCGTGGACCGGTGGTTGGGGACCCCTGCTTTAAATTACGCTTAGAGAAGTTTGCCCTACATCAGATCTGTTAGTTTGGGAAACAAATTGGTTTGAATTTTATCTATCTTAATGTGTTCTTTTTAAATGCTTTATTGTGTTTTTGGATGTACTAAACCATAAGGAATCCTGCAGCATACAAGTTTAATTAACATTAAGTTAAAAAGTTATTATTTGTCCACGTGTACCAGTATGTTATCAGTTTTAATTGATGGCATCAGTTAAAACTGGCTTCCATGGACTTTTATTGGCTTCTACTGATATGGATTTATTATTGTGTTTATGATTCTAAGGATTCAAAGACAAGACTCTGGTAAGACAAAGGGAGAGATTTTCTCTAGATATCTTCAATTATTTTTAGCATTTTCAATCCAAGGCATTTCTGTATATGAGTTAAAAATGAAAAAAAATATGGACACATTTCTTCATAAAGTGTATTGAAGAGCCTATTCTCACCAAGGGAACAAGATGAATTTGACATTGAGCAAACACTGTAGTCTCATAATCGGACATCATGATAACTTGATATAGTACAGGGGTATTAAATCACAATGTCACATTGTCGTCACGTGACATATTGCAACTTCCCCCCCTTTCACTTTTTTCCTCCCCTTTGGGGTGTGTGTGGTAAGCACATGACACATCTGGCCTGTGGGCCGCAATTTTGATACCCCTGATCTGGTATAACTTTGGATGACTTATTTAGAGAAAATCCTAAACTGTAATTTTCATATCTGTCCTTAATAAAAATATCCCATTAAGGTTCAGGCAATCCATCTGATTTATGGACAACTCATATCTATGAACAGCCTGCCTATTAGTAAAAATGATGGACAGCATTCTTCTTTGAGCCAATGAACTGCTGAAGCTGTGCAGTTTTTCCGAACTGCTTAGTATATTTATAATATATTAAACATATATTATATATATTTATATAATTATGTATATGTTGTACATTATAATATATATTGTATATATAAATACATTAAATATATATTTAATATATAGCCTGTTTCAGCAGTTTGTGAAAACATTGTGTGACTTCAGCAATTCATTGCCTTGAGGAAGGTGCACTTACATACAAATCTGAGTTACAGACAAACTTGGGAACAAATTTCATTTTTAACACAGGGACTGCCTGTATAATGTTTAACTCTACTTACATATAATATGCTAGTACTCTTATAATAATTTTCAGTTTCATAATAATTATAAAATATTTTTAATATCTACAACTGAATATGATTAAAACTTGTCAGAGTTAGAGTTAAGGGCAAAAGTCGAAGACTTGCGGAAATGTAGATATTTCCCAGCCTGCTAACTACTCTGAATTCAGCAAATGTAATTTTTAAGGTTATATGTATCTCTTTCATGAGCTGTATAACTTTCCAATTAGTATCTTTATATACAGGTTAACATAAAATGTTATGTAAATTACTTTTGAGTAAAAGATAGAGGAAAAAGTAAAGTTTTACCCATTCTTCAATTCATGAATGGACGGGCAGATTATTTTTCTTGTCTTTTAATACTAAATTTTACAAGAGGAAAAAGGGAAATACTTGGGAGTCTTATTGGTAGGCAGAAAATGCTACACAGCTTATGCACATGTACAAATTTCGTATACAAATTAAATAACACTACCAATATTTCATACATATATTCTAAGTATTCACAAAAAAGTGGAAAGTTAAATATAAGACAGAAAACATACCACTTTTATTTCCATTCTCTTCATCCTGTAAAAGATGCAGAAAAATCCAGAGTCACTATTTTTTTATTACAACCCTCTTATAACTGCAAAAGATTTTATTCATAATTCATTTCACTCACTTTTAAAGATATCTGAATAGCAGATTCTGGGGGGTAAACAATAAAATGTCTTAAGGTAAAACCAAAACCTATTGGTGATCTTCGTAAAGCTATCAGTTTGAGTCCAGGCCAAGACAAAGTTTCTTCATCATCTTCTGATAATGACCCTGCTTCACACTGCCTTTTTTCATCTTCATGTTTGGATACCTAGTAAGAGAAAGAGGGGAAAAAACCCAGTTTAATATCTTTAATTTCATGCAGTACATTATATTTTTGGAAGCAGTTTTACTCAGGGAAATGGACCTGTGCAAAAGACTCTTATAAATCATTGTTATTCTGTTGTTGTGTTATATAACAAGCTGTGCTTTGATCGCCACATTTTGATTCTGTTTATCAGTTCATTTTATAGTCATTTTATAATATAAATGAAACAGATATAAGAAAATTATATATTGTTGTTTCTACCTTATCCTTAACTACATAATACCATAAAACTTTGGTTAGCTTTTTGTTCCCAGTAAAGATTTCTGAAGTGTCCTGGCTCAACCCTTAATTTTAAGATGGTTCACATTCTAGCATGACTTACATTGTCAAGAGCTCTTTGTAGTCAATAAAGCAAAGAAAAAAACTCCTTTTGTTCTATCTCCTTATGCTATCTATCCAATGTCGTATTCCTTTGTGTTTTTCAAAACCCATTTGTTCATTCTGCATGTTCCTCTCTTGAGTGCCTTTATTCTTATTTGTAAAATCTTAAGCAAAACTGGTGCAATGGTTCAGTAATTTTAACAATCCTCTGTATTTTATTTTATTCTATTTTATCACCTGTTTACACTGAGCAGCTCACAATAAATCATAAAAACCTACACTCCACATAGTTTCATAGCTTCTTATCCTATAGCTTAAACAATCCAAAGGATAGTTCATCTGTAACTAACATTTTTATAGTTGATAACTGGTCATACTGAGTCTTATAAAACATTTTCCAATGATGTTAGTTCCTGAACTAAATCTCTCTTTCATTCTATAATAATGTTGGAAATGTTACATAATCTTTTCATTTTTTAAAAAATCTCAAATGCCTTTTTAAGTAGCTTTTATAATTACACTTGAATTATCCTACCTTAAGCTTTAAAAATTCTATAAGTTCTTAGTTCTTAAACAGTTGTTTTCCATGTTACTTTTCCTCTTTTTGCTGTCCTAATTAAATCCTTCATTATTCCAGGTTTTGCATTTAGCACTTGGTACCACTATATTCTTTTTAGATGTAGCCTTGTAATTTGTATAGAATTCCACACTGTCTTCCACAATTATATCTGTATTAGGTGTAGACACTTGCATAACATAACATTAATGTTCACTATATCCACTATTTTAATAGATATTATCCTGTCATTTGTTAGATTATAGCCAAGCCTTCTAAGTATCTGCTATTCTGTTCCTTCAGATAAGCCTATGTCTTGAATAGTAAGAATGTCGTCTGATTTGGATTCCAATTCTATCTTTTTTCAATTTTTTCTGAAGTACAGAAAGTAGTTCCAATGAAGTTACTCAACAGTAACATTTTAATTTAATGCAACTTGATTATATATTGAACCAATTAATTTGATTTAAAAAGTTATACTCTAGCATTTTGATTATTTAATCAAATGTTCTGTATATAAGTATATGCAGTCTTGATTCATTTTTCTAGTTAGTAATAGTCAGGGTCAAAGGATTTCCCTCATGGCATGCTTCCAAGATTCCTAGGCATTAGGAAGGAAACACCTTGAACTGCAATGGAAACTATGGCAAGGTGTACTGTACTATAGTACAAAACTAGTATATCTCACCCTCCCACACAAAGAAACAAGGATTTTAGAGTTTTCCTTGTACAAGAATAGGTAAAATTTAATTGCAAGTTTAAGGATAAGTTTAAAATCAACAGAACTACTGATGCAAAATCAAATATTAAAGAATCAATATTATCTGAAGGCTCGCTGAGTCTCCATTTAAAGATTAAATAGTCTATTTTAATGTATCTATGAATGCTCTCTACCCAAAAGAATGCATTTCATATTTCATCATATTTCAAAACAGGGCTGTGGGACAGGCTATCTTTAGATGCAATAAGGGTGAAAAAGTGTCATTTTACTGCCCTTATCACTATTAGATAATCTTAACAGGAGTTTTAAGCCATGCTCAACTGAGTTTGTCCCTTGTTAAATGCCAGGAGCATTCTATACATCTCTTCTACCATTTCATCTTCTTCATCTCTTCTGTGAACCATGGAGAATGATGGGATCCACAAGAAGGCAGATGTTAGCCAATCCAAAACTCTTGTGGCAACCAAGGATTCAGCCGGGCAGTGCAGTAGACCAGCAGGACACTTTCCAAACTCTCTCTGAAACCCATCCAAGTCCATCAGTTGTGAGTGCAGACTTATCTAATAGCTCTGGTCCCTGTAGTGAATAGTGGTGCCAGAGAACCTCATCGTGCATGATCTGACTATGACAAGGGGGGAGGTACCAAAAGCTTCCAGATCACATTGCCACTGCTCCATTAAGAAAGCCAGATCAACTATACAACTGCTGTCTTGTTTTGGGTCCTGGATTACATGGGATAGGCCAATAGTTGTCATAGCGACTATGAATTCCTGAGCTGCCTCTGATCCTAGTCTTAAAGAGGGTGCCACTTGAAGACCCTTAAGGCCCAAAAATGGAGTCAAGCAATGTAGGCAGGGAGGCTGCTATGCAGCAGGGAAGGTGTACATATCAACAATCCCAACTGATCTTTAGAACCCAACAAAATGAACAGGATATCAAATTTAGCACCTGTGGAGCAACATCCTTGGAATGAAATTCTTTTAAAAGATGTTTAAAAAGTTGGAGCAATGCAATAGATGACTTTGCGATACTTTCTCATTAGGGCGACAAAGTTACACTATCTAGTAACTATAGGCCCCCCCAAAATCCAAAAAGCATTTTTGATCTTAGGTTAATGCATTCACATGGTTACCATTTTCATAGTGGAGAGATAAAAAGAAACTAACTTTAGACATTGAGAAACCAGAATTTCCAAACTATTTCTCATGAATTTCCAATAAGAATTTCCAAGCTATTTCTAATGAAGAATATTTGGGTTGCATAGAAAAAGAATTGACTATAATTGAAGTATGAAATATATATTTACAGTTTTTAAAATTTAGAATAAATGTCATCTCTAGCAGTTACATGTGACATTATATATAAATAAAACAAAATTAAAAAATAAGAGATAAAATGCTTCTTTTAATATAGGATAGGATAGGCATTTGTAGGTTTTCTAAACTGTAGTTCCATCATGTGTGAGGATTGTCATGGATTGTCTTATAGATACATTGGTACAGGTTGATCTAAAGGAGGGAAGATTAATATCCCTGTAACAGAAATATTAAAACTCGTTGTCAAAATGTGGAAATTAATTATTTATTCTTCTAAGTAAGTATAGTATATTCCAGATTGTCTTCTATTACAAGAAGTATATTGCCATTTTTCTTTTTCCTTGTATAGGTAGCAACTGATTCCAAATCCTAAAGATTTAATCTAACAAATCTGTTTTAGACTGAGATTGGGGAGATAGTTCTATAGTACAATAGTAAACAAAACTCTTTGAAACTGCAAGATAACTAAAACTGCCTGTCGAAAACATGCATAAAAGTATTGAAAGATGAACAGTATCAATTCAGTGCCACTATCTAATACTTCAACGGCTCCTCACATTCATTTTTCATTAAAATGGCTACTTTGAAGTTTGTGATTTTGTGACTGTTGAATTTAAAATGGCCATCAATGGTTCTCTAATGATGTTGATCTTCATCAAAACATAAAAACTGTACAACTAAGTTCTGAAAATGTAATATAAGGGAAATCCATACATAAACAACCATTTATGAAAGATAAAAAAGGTAATAACAATGGTGGCAGGCATTTTGTTGGTCTAGCAAAGGACTTCTGGTTATGAGTATTTTGGTCAGTTGTCTCAGGCAGAATATAGCTCCCCCCCCCCCTTTTTTTTTTTTTTTTTGCACAAATGGACAAAGCTTACCCATTACTTGCTATTAGAACCTGCTTCTTATAGGCTACAGCCAGGGTGAATAAACACCTTGATTAGCTTTTGTTCCCTGCTTCAAGGGAGTCTACGTCACAACACAAAGGATCACCACGCCCAAGTGAGGACAGAATGTCTACTTGGACAATGGTCTTTGCCACTATATGAAAAAGAATGCCCCCTCCCCCTCTTTCTATAATGGAAGCAACAATGTGTGCAAGAAAAAGGACAGAATGGTTTTTAAAAAAAAGACCCCCCACAAGAGATGTCTAAGTAAAATAGGCCTAATACCTTTTTATGGCTTTGCACTGTGACTTCTAAAGCATAACCAACTGTTAATATTAATTAACTCAAGCTTTGTGAGGTAACAATTAGAAAATAAATGCTTATATTACTGTATGAAGCTGTAGAGTGAGTTATAAAACCAAAACCTTCTACCACTTCCTGAGCAGTACATGGGCAAAGTTCTAGCTGGTAAGTTAAGCCACACTTTAGTGCAGCCCATCAACTTTGTCAAATTCAACTTAGATTGCTTGTCTCCCATATACTCTCTCACACTTTTCATGAGGGACAGGCAACAATAATTATCACTCTTAATGCAGAGACTACCAGCCTTCAGCCCTTAACATCCATCCTTTCAGTGCTTATGCATACACCAACACAAAATCTGTTCCTTACTTAAAGTTCAGTTCTGCCCTTTAAAATTCAAAATTATTTTAAAAAATGTATCATTTGCTCTGAAGCAAAAACAGTTAACTTTAGTAACATCAGATTTCAGCGTTTCAGAATAAGAACAACTGCTGTTACATGAAATCCAAACTGTACTATTTCAACCACTGACCTTCCTTGTATAAGCAGCTTATCTTGTTTATTTTAACTTGTCTTATGTTTCTTATTTAGTTGTATAAATTATAAATAAGTCATATATTACTTATTTCTTTCCAATGTAACGACAAATTCTTATAATACATACTTGTGGTAATCTGGAAACTAAGTAAATAAACTGATAATCAATTAATAAGTTTCCCTAAAATATAATTATATAACAATTAGAACTTCAAACCTTGCATGCATTGTAAATTTGCTTCTCCCTATCTTATTCTTAAACTGAGCTACCTTTTCCAAAAACTGCAACCTATCTT